GGAAAGAGAGAAAAGTCCTAAAAGTACAGAGTCAGCAAAGTTGTGAATTGTGTTTTCTTTTTTCCTCACTTAAATTGCTCTGTCTTTTTTTGACTGAATGGAATATTTGATCTGTAATTCAACTGTGAAAACAACAGAGGCCCATTTAAATAGAATAAAGGCAGTATATTTACACAATAACGTGAGTATTGATTTATAAAAATGAATAATCTCTTTTACTTTAAACATGATTTATGTTTATCTACAGTTTTTCAGAACAGAAACCTAATCACAATGGAATGCATCATACTTCTATCACTCAATTCTACTGGTAATGATGATTGTGGATTGCCATATTTATGCAGCAGCAGCTCTGGTTGCAATGAAACTCAGCTCCATCCATCAGTTCTTACACCAGCTTCAGTCATGCCAAAGCTGTTCTCTGCCTCTGAAGCTCGTCGCATGATGGCAGGAAGTTCAGAGGAGTCAAATGTTGTCTTTAACAAAATAACAGATGGTGGACTGGACTGTCAGCGCAGCAAAAAGCAGAACATAAACTTGGCTGAAGCATCAATGTCCAACAGTCCCCTCGTTTCCATAGGATAATATGAGGCCTTTAATAACAGGAATTTTTCTGTTCAACATCGGCACCGTTAAAGCCCCACAAGTCTGTCAGGAGAAAAGAGCGCCCCTGCTGTCCGCCTCTCGTCATCCAGAGATGCTCGAACCATCCACCCAGGTGGGCCATGCTAAGCCAAAGCTGCAAAAAAGGTAACTGACAGACTAACATTGTGACTGAGATGCAAATGAAATCAAACATAAGCATGCGTTTAAAGGATGTTTTTCATATACAGTAATTATAGGAAAATAGACTATCAAGGATGACTCCTTTAAAATCATTTATAAAGCTTTCCTGGATGCAGACAGCTCAGCTAAGAAGTAAATAGATACTAAGCAAAACAAATCCTTAAAGTATATGCAAACACAAGCATAAATATTTGATCCACAGAGAGTAAGCTACGAATGACAATTATTAGTGATATACTGAAATTCTGGAACAGGCACCATTTCTGTCTTTTTGAAACTCGCTCTTCTTTTTGGAGTGTTTTTGTCAGTTGTAAGGTGTTTCCTAGATCCTGTAAGAGTCACTGCTGACTGAAGTGTAGGGTACTGCTGCAGTCCATCCACAAGTCGTTGCATTTTCCTCACGTTCTCTAAAATGAACCAGCTAAAAAAAAGTTGGTGCACTGTTCATGTCTCATTCACTCTACCACATCATCCCTCATCTCACTTTCTTGATTGTTCTCAT